AATAGCAGGATCCTTATTATAAGGACCCCAAAATACGGTGCCCCTTCTTAGTTTCGGAAACTTCCATGTAATGGAGCTTCGCAGAGTTGGGGGTTTGGACACAGCTCCAGGCGATGTTGCCGATTGCCAAAAAGAACTTGCAGGGAAGTCCAGTGTAGGGGCCTTAATATCAAAGGCTCCTTTCATGGGTTCTAGAAGGGATCTATAACAGGGTTAATAATTAAGAATATTTAGAATAGAGCTTTGGAGCCCAATATACTACAAGTATAATAAGCAACCCCAAACTAATATAGGTAATTACTAAGGCCCTATATTAAGTTGTTGCCAACGCCTTGTCAATAAACCGGGCCGTCTTCTTGGCATTGAACTTGGTGAAGCCCTTCTGCTCTGCCAACGAGCGCATGGCCTCGACCTGAGCTTTCTGGAAGGGTACTGTGAGAAGTCTACTAGCTGCTGAAATCTCTTCATAGCCGAACCTTGAACAGAGCTCCCTGCCTCCCTGCAAGGCATCCTGAAAACTGCATAAGGTAACAGGCAAGGCTGTGCCACGCAAAATTAGGAGCGGCCCTGAAAGCCTAAACACAATACCCGAAGACCTAAACCAAATGCCTGGTGCTCGTTGTGCTCGAAGACGATGAAGTCCCACTCCGCGTTGCCCCCGGCCGCCAGAAAAGCATCAACGTTTGCTATCAGGCGCTCCCACCTCACCACAGGCCAGTGAGCGTGCAAGCTCCGGCATGTCACGCATGGACATGAGCCTGTCTTTATAAATGCATACATGCATGGATGTATGTAGGTGTGTATGTAAGTATGCATATATGCATGTATGCATGCATCTATGTATGACAAAGATTGTATGTATGTACGTATGTATGTATGCACGTGTGCATGTGTGCATGTTGCTTGCGTCTCCTCCCACCTTACATGCTGCCGGTAGAGGTGGTTCGTGGACTCATCCCCGTCGATCGCAAAGCGCACAAAAGCCCTTTCGGGCGGCTGCATGATGCTCCCAAGCTCCTCCAACGGTTGAGGCTTGTTGTGTTTTTCAGGGCTCAGCGCTCAAGCTTTGCGTTGTGAACCAGGATGGAGTCTACAAGGTGTCTTGCCGAGCTCCTCCCACCAGACGGGTGAACGCATGCCCCCATTCCTTGCACAGACTTGCATCACAGATGGCATGAAGACCCTCGAAAGCTTGCAATTGCTTGGGCATGCAGTCTAACACAGTGTCGTCTAGTTCTTTCGCGAATACAGCAAGGCTACGTGAAGAGCCCGACACGCGGGCCGCCGACGCTGAGCAGGTAGCGGATCACCTCTGCACAGTCCTGGCCGAGACAAGCACTGAATCCTGTCTGGAAGACAAAGGCCACAGCACATCATGTTGTTCAGGACTGAAACTGTGCTAAAACAACGCACGTCCCTCCCAAGAAAATACTCAATAAGTCAATATGTCATGAACTCGCAAGAGCCAGCAACAACGTCCCGAAACATCAAAACTCGATGCCACCGCACCACCCAATGCTCCAAACCTCACGCCAGCCCAGAGCACAAAACACTCGAACAAACCTACCCCGCTCAAAACAAAAAGAGGTCCTGGGCCACGGCCGGGTCCCCGAAGTTGCCGCAGAGATATACCTGCCGAATACAGATGGAACTTCACCTCGTCACCCTATGCTCCCTGGTGCTTAGTCGGGACTGGGGGAATTGGATATTGGGGACTATTAACTATTATTGGGGGCTATATAGGCGCTACTATAGGGATCCATTCCCCCATTCCCTACTAAGAACCAGACAGTCGTCACCCTACGGGCTGTAGTCCACAACGATACCGGGCAATGAGTTGTCGGTTTAAACAGGGCGGTGCCAACAGCTAGTAAGGACAGATTCAGGGTTCGCGTAGGGCAGACAGTTTCCCATAGTTTCCCGCAAACCGCGCCTTCCGCAGCTGCCGGAGAAAGCCTGCAGATGTTTAGGGCTTCAGGGGAGTCGGGATTCAGGGTTTAGTGTTGAGGGCTTTAGTAGAGGATTCGGGGTCGCCGGTTTAGCATAGGGTTTCAAGCGTTAGGGTGACAGCTTTGAGCAGTGCAGACATTTGTGACATTGCCAACTTCGGCTGCCTTGTATCAAAAAACGATGCAAAGGAAACGATATCTTTGGGAAACCACTTCAGCCGCAAGGGTAGTTACAAGGGTAGTTCCTTAAATCAGGTCCTTTGCTGGGCTTCTTTTTTATAAGGGTGCAGTATATTTTGATCTATATGGGGGGAGCTAAAAAAGGGACCCGAATCACAAGAACTACCCACATGGCCTGGGGGTAAGATGGCCCGGACGTCCTCGAGCGAAAGCTCGGAGTGGTGTGCGGCTAGCACCTGAACTCGCAGGGGCGACTGGTCTGTTCTTGAACTTAGTTGCCCACTAAGCCCGAGAATTTGCGCTTCCAGCTTTCGGGGGCCTACATTTTACAAGCTCACGTATGTCAGATGTTTTCCAGGAACTTGGCATGTGGAGTCAGTGTTCAAGACTTTGAGGTGCCCGGAGGTTTAGGGTAAGGGCCTTAAGCTCTTGAAAGCGTTTCAAGCTGAGGCTTACGTGATAGTGCTCTCTTATACAACGCAGGGTATCGGTTCGCTGCACAGCTCTAAAGAGACAAGCAAATCCAGCCAAGCTGCGAGTTTCTGGCAAAAGATTGACAAACCCCTACTAAACCCCCTCTCTACCTCTCACCCTCACTTTCAAATCCCGCAGCCCAGGCGCTGGGTTCTCCGCTCCACCCTGGAGATTCCGCGGGCACTGCGGGCACGCGGCATTGCAGCGGGTGGTGAGCTCCAGGTGCACGGCCTTCAGCTCCTGGAAAGCCCGGTCTGAGGTGGATGCAAGCGATTATTATGTGGTAAGGGCTGGGGAAGGGGGGTGACATCGACGGGTTCTTCCTGAATGCTGACCATACCTAACAGTCAAACAGACCCTGCATGATGCCAGATTCAACACTTACTCTAAACATCAGGCCTCTACCTCCTCATCCCGAAAACCCCGTCACCTCTTGTTTCAGAAGGTGCAGCATGTCGTCCATAGAGTCTTTGGATACTTGTGGGCTTGTGGATGTTAGGGCCTACTCGCGGCGATCGCGCTTATATGGGCTCTTCTTTTCGGGGAGGTCAAGCTTTCGGTTCGCCACGCCGTCTCAGCCTCCAAGCCTCAACCACCTAAACCTGTCGAAACAGACCCGGAAACACTGTGACTGGGTCAAACCCCCAATTCAAGCTCCAGAAGCATAAGCCCCGAGCCGTGATCTGCCAGTCCAAGATTTGAAACCTTAGACCTTACACTCCAGCTGCATCCGAAGCTCGCTGGAGCGATAGAGGGGACGCACCCGCTCGTGTCGCAGCTTCTTCACCCAGGAGGCGTCGGCGGTCCTCACCTGCGCAGCTCTCCGCAACAGGAAGAGGGTTGTGTATTGGCGGTATGGTATAGGCGAACAGTAGCTGATGCAAAGATGGCCTGGTCCACATGGAAGGTCGGTTCAAGCATCTAGACAAAAACATGCAATATGAGCAACAAAATCCAACAAGCACACAAAAGACACACTCCAAGGCCGGGTTCTTGAAGCAGGTTCCTAGAAAAGTGACTACTTTTCACAAGGCAGCCAAAACGGTCACCCGGGCCTCCACGCCGCCCTTCGCAGCAGGAGGGGCAACAGAGGGCGAGCTCGTGGACGGCTTGGTGCCGAAGACGAGGTCCAGATCTTCCTTACGTTTCTGTTTGCTCTCAGGGTTTGGGAAGTTCAGGGTTTGGGGTTTCGGGTTTGGGGTTTAGGGTTTGGGAATTTCAGGCATCGGGTCTAGCTTCGGACGCCTTCCAGAAATAAGGGGCCCAGCAGCTCTTTCTGGAGCTCTCGCGGTTCAAGAGTCAGGGGACAGTCCAGAGACTCAGGGCGCAGGAGAGGAGAACTTAGCTCTTTTGGGGGGTCTTGGGGTTTCGCGCTCCGGGTTGTGAGGCTTTAGGACTTAGGGTCAAGGACTAAGGGTGTAAGGTCTCGGGCATCAGGGGTTCCTCGGATCTTCCTCGGGCCTTCGAAAAGCTGAGGAGGCTTCAAGGTCTGTTTTAGGTTTAGGGCTGACCTTGGGCTCTTGTAAACCTTTCCAAGTGCAAACAGCCACTCACTCGAGATTCCAACCAGACCGTATACTCCAATAGCCTAGTACTCACTGCTCCGGCACTAAGCTCTCTACTGTGGGGACCTTAATAATTCTATTATACTGGTCCCCCAAACCCTAGTCTAATTAATCAGGCCCCTATATGATGTGTTCCCCGCCAAAGCCGCGATGTCTTGAAATCGGTGCCCATCGGCGCTCTGGCGCTGCGAGGTGCAGGAGCCCATTAGCACAGGCAGAGAGGAACAGCTCAAGCGCCGCACCGTGACCCTTAACCCTAGGCCGCAAGCTTCCCAGAGAGCCCAATACCGCTTAAATAAGGAATATAGCTTAAATCATAATATGAAGCCCTATATAATTCAAGCCATACTCTCAATTAAGGGGTATTGGGCTCTCTGGGTTGCGGTGGGGTTGTTCGTAGGGTTTCGGAAGTTTGGATTCGGGATAGTTTGGGAAATAGGTGGATACTGGATAGCTCACGCCTAAAGTAGCGACACCCGGCAAATGTCCAACCCTAAGCAGGGCTTCGGGATGCATTTAGCCCGCACCCAAACTTGAGACATGATGTTTAGGGTTTAGGGTTTAGGGTTTACCTGAGGATGGGCTGTCGGCATCAACGAACTCGAGCCAGATGCAGCTCGGATTGCCAAAATATTTAAGGCACATTGGAACAGAAGCTCCGAGATCACGACAAGGTGCCCAGTAGATGTTTCGGCGGCAACTTATTCGTGACGCAGGTTTAAATATTCGTTGGATCCAGGTCCAGTTTTAACTACTGTTGATCCTTGCTCCCTATCCCAAAGATTCGCTGGCTTCCCAACGCCCAAGTCAACACAAACCTTCAGGCCCGCACGGCGTGCTTGGCAGTGACGGGGAGCTCGCTTTGGCCGCCGCCATGAGACGACAGGAAGCAGGAGGTGATGTTTGGCGACACCGGATCGGTGAAAATTAAGCTTTGGCTTTGCGGCTTGGCGGTGTCGCGTTTTAAGGAAGGAGATACACTTGGGCTGCATGGTTGTAGGGAGTGTCGTGATTGGAGGAGTCCGGGTGACGGGCGGCTAAATGCAGGGCGGGGCGGGGGCGCCGGGAGGTGGTCTTTATTTTCCGGCGTCAATGTTGCTCGTCTAGGATCCAGAGATTCAATTACTGAGGCTCTGCGAGTTAAACCGGACACAGGAGTTTGGGCTTCGGGGCTCTCAGACCGAAGGCTCCTTCGGACGGGTTGGCTTCGGGGTCGCCCACTGTCTCTGTCGGTTTTCTTTTTTTAAGAGACGGTTTTGGTTTGTGGCTTTCAAGCCAGGCTGCGATGACAAGCGTCTGACTCCGAAGGTTCTTGACCTGCACCCCGAAATCGAAACCTCTTCATGTACAGGTTTGTAGGGCTCAGGGTGCAGCGAGTTTAGGGCTTACGACTGTAGACCCCAAACCAAGGAAGAGCGTGAGAAGTGCCAGCAGGTGAAAAAAGCCTGCAACTTGTGTCTTGAACACACAAAATCACGAGCTTCCACAGGGACATCAGAGCAAGCTGTAACCTTCGCTGTACAACTGTAAACCGACACAGGCGCGGCGGAAAGATACTTGGAGTGATGTACCCGTGAACTACCCCTGATCAACTACACCCCCCGAATAAGGTTGATCATTTGGACCGTAATGTGGAGGCAGGGATCTACGCTAGAATACTAACACGGTGAGAACAGCCCAGATATCTCCAGATGCCGCGGAAAGTTCTTTCACAGGCTTCATGCAAGACTGCTGGCACTTGCTGCATTTGAGAAATCTGAGGTCGAAGGCATCCAGAGGCTGAGTCATGGCGCCAGCAAGCTTAGAAAGCTCGCCTGCAGACTCCAGAACATCCAGGCGTCGCTGAAGGCGAGTATAGCTATAGCCCAACAGTATCGGCCTTCCTGCCACAAGCCGTGCCACTTCTCCTGCAGGAAAGTAGCGAAGGAGCAGCCTGTGTTTCCCTCTCAGATTTTTCTCGACGCTCAAGCTGACCAACTGCGGGAATTTCACAATCGCCTCGGCAGCGTCCGAGTGGCTGAGGCCTACACCCTTGATCCAGTCTACTGTCGGTTGCAGAGTGTCCTCAATGCTGTAGCTAACCACGTGGGGGAATCTCGCGACCACTTTGGCAACCTGCGTCTGGTTCAGGCCCAAACCCTTGATCCAGTCCACTGTCGGTTGCAGATTGTCCTCAATGCTGTAGCTAACCACGTGGGGAAATCTCGCGACCACTTTGGCAACCTGCGTCTGGTTCAGACCCAAACCCTTGATCCAGTCCACCGTCAGTTGCAGATGGTCCTCTATGCTGTAGCCAAGTGCTTGGGGGTATGTCACGACCACCTTCGCCACCTGCTTCTGATTCAGGCCCAAACCCTTGATCCAGTCCACCGTCAGCTGCAGATTGTCCTCAATGCTGAGGTCAAGCAAGTTGGGAAATCTCGCGACCACCTTGGCAACCTGCGTCTCGTTCAGGCCCAAACCCTTGATCCAGTCCACCGTCGACTTCAGGTTGTCCTCTCTGCTGTAGCTAAGCACTTGGGGATATGTCGCGACCACCTCGTCAACATGCCGTGTGGTCAGCAGCGGCTTATTTTGGAGAAAACCGTGCTTCTTCAACTTGCGGTAGTTGGATGTGCCGACCAACTCCGCATCCTTTGCAAAGACGCTTGCATCCGTGTCGTGCGAATTGGCGGAGAATGCCTCGAAGCGCGAAGCTTCCCCAGGAAGAAGCTGGTCGCAACACGTCCGTGCGAGTATCAGACAGAGCAGGCACGAGATGAAGCCCCGACGCCGCCTTCTCAGGAAGACGCGTTGCATGGAAGCACCGGATAGAATTCGGAGCTCGGATTGCGGAGACTGCAGTTTGAGGCTCAGCCGAGATGGGAAGCATCGACAGAGTCACCCTTAAACTGGTTCTTCATGAGTTCCGGTTTGTTTCACTGCGTTAGTTCGGGAGTCGTTGAGACCCGGGCCTTCATGCCCCAGGAGCCCCATGGCAGCAACTTACCTTTGGTTAATGGGGAATGGAAGAATGGTTGTAATAGTAGTTATACTTGTACCCCATTCCTCCATTCCCTACTAACCAAAAGTAAAGATCCATGTAAAGGAACCCTAAACCCCTATAGATCCCTTTAAAGGAACCCTATAGATGCCTGAAAACCAAAGGTAAGGCAATCCGTACGATGGGGGCAATCTCCAGGGCCCCTGAATCCTCTGAGGACTGTGGAGCCCCTCGCTTTCCAGAGGACGGGACGTGCGATGTGAGGGATTGGGGTTTGGGGTTTAGGGCTTAGGGTTTAGGAATTAGGGTTTAGGAATTAGGGTTTAGGAATTAGGGTTTAGGAATTAGGGTTTAGGAATTAGGGTTTAGGAATTAGGGTTTAGGAATTAGGGTTTAGGAATTAGGGTTTAGGGGTTTAGGAATTAGGGTTTAGGAATTAGGGTTTAGGAATTAGGGTTTAGGAATTAGGGTTTAGGAATTAGGGTTTAGGAATTAGGGTTTAGGAATTAGGGTTTAGGAATTAGGGTTTAGGAATTAGGGTTTAGGAATTAGGGTTTAGGAATTAGGGTTTAAGGTTTAGGAATTAGGAATTCAAGAGAGGAGTCTGAAACCGCGAGCTTCTTTCCTCAGCCGCCTTCACTATCAGAGCTTGCACTTTGGCGAGCCACATCCGCCTCCACCGGGCGGGCAAGAGCCTGGCAACGACTCTGCGGGGATATCGGCTTCGGGCGATGGGATTGGGATTCAGGATTGGTTAGAACTTGCGGGAAGGATCAGAAGAAGATGCATGAAGCCATCACCGCGCAGTAGGGCGCTCACAGAGCATGTTTGTTCTTCCTACATTGCAGTTCCAGCTCCCCCACCTTCGAAAGTTGAGCGGGCTTCGTCTACTGAAACCAATAGAAATCTCAAGGGCCTCCCACATGAGACCGGCCGAAATCTCTAAAGTTCTGTATGGGGTTTTGTCAGATCTGCACGGGGTTTGGATGCAATCTGATCTTCCGAGAAGAGTGTTCGTATGAATGGCAGACGCTTGCAGTGAGCATTGGCCAGTTCTGTACGTACATACTGAAAGTCTGACCGAGTGACACACCTTCATGTAGTAGTGAGTAGTAGACATTAAATTACCGGAAACCCCAACATCAGACAAGAAGAGGCTGTCTTTTCACCCAAGAAGCCGTCGTTAGCTGCTTCAGCAAGCCGACGTTGCTGCTTGACAGGTCAACGCAACGCTGAAGCTGCGCATACCTGCTCGGAGCTCAGCAGAATATGTGGGATTGAAGGGTTGCAAAGGCGAAGGCTGATGTCCATCCGAGCACTTACTTCTGGCTCTCAGCACGCAATTCACGAATCGAACCTATAGTCTGTTGAGGAACAGCGCCTGTCTCTCCTTCGGCTTCTAAGCTCAGGACCGAGCGAAAAGCAGCAAGAGCCAAACGAACTTTGAACAAGAAATCCTAAACTACGAATCTCAAATCCTGAACCCTAACCACATCATTATAGGGATCGGCTCTATCAAGTGCAAGGTGGAAAGATACCATCAAACCTCAAGCCTCCTAAATCCTAAAGCCCAAACCCGAAACACCCTAAAACTTCATACAACATTTTTTCAAAAGGCAACTTTACTAAAACCAAAAAAAATTGAAACCGCGTATAGCGCCGAGGCACAGTTCGGGCTCCACAGGCGGTGCTGGGGGTGCCGGGGGTGCCGCAGGCAGCTTGGGAGGCTCGGAGAGGGGGCCTCGTCTTTCTCTTTGCGGTTTAGGGTCTTTCTCTTTAAGGTTTCGGGGTTTAGGGGTTTAGGGGTTTAAGGGTTTAGGGATCAGCGGCTTAAAGTTTCGGGGTTTAGGGTTTTGGGATTCGGGGTTTAGGGGTTTAGGGTTCTTCAGGGTATGTGTTTAAGGTTTGGAGTAGTAGGGGCTCAGGGTTTAGGGCTTCTGCAATTTAGGGTTTCAAGGTTCAGGTCTTCATTTGGTATTCTTTGGGGTTTCTGTTTTGGGGTGTAGGGGGTTGAGGAGTTTGGGGTGTACTTGGTTTGGGGTAGAAGGGGGTGAGGACTTCAGGTTTCTGTTCATTGGGTACTTGGGAGTTTAGGGCTTCCGGGGTTTCGTTTTAGGGGCGTTGGGGGGTTGAAGGTTTCGGTTTTCATCTTGTAGATCCGAATACGACCGTGAGTCCGCATCCCCGCATCCAACTTCTCATCATCAGGCTTGGGCGAGGCACTCCTTTCCTGAATACCTCGAGCTTCTAAGGATCTGATCTCGACTTGCTTCTTATGGGTGGTTTTCAAATTAGGGTCCTTTTTGGGTACACTACAATATTAGGGACCCAAAAAGGGACCATCATTTTGCCAACTACCCTTATGGAGATGGCCTGGAAGGTTTCGGGATGAAGGATTCAGCACCAGGTTGTAGCACTTTACGTTTCGGGCTTGAAACTACTAGTCTTTATCACTCAGTGGAAATATTCAGCCTTGGAATTCCTTAAAGGGGACCCCATTATGGAACCCGATAGGCCCCTTAAAGGAACCCTTCAAGGAGCCCCTTAAAAGCTTCGGGCAGGGACGCGCCTGCGCTAGGCGCCGTGGAAAGCGACGAGCCTCGTCGGACGCCTCAGAGGCTTCGCGGCTCGAAGGTCGTGACTTCGGGGCCTGGGGAACGTGATCTGCGAACAACACCGGGTGGCCTTGGGCAGCAAAAAGTGCATGACAGCTCGCAGCGATCTTCCCATCAAGCCCTGACACCCGCAGAAGAAGTGTCAAGAATCTCGTGAAACGCCTGTAAGTCACAGTTTATGCGGTCAAAATCGAAGAATCGTGCCAACCATGGTAAGAAATGTCTAGGGGACTCGCAAGACGCTGTAAAAAAGGGGCTTGAATAACTAGAACAGGGTT